ATATAGATACGATTCGATACGCGGCAAAACCGATATTACCCACTCCTAATTTCAATATTATTTCTGGAAATCGTGAGAAACTACCAGGTACTCCATTAATATTTGAATTCAATATTGAAAGTGTTAAAAGAAAGGCAACAGGATATTTGAATGTTACAAATAAATGAAAATATTTTATACATTTAAATCAAGAGAAACTGAGTCTTCTTGACTCTTTTTTAAAGTTTAAAATTATATGACGAAAACTTCATGAGACACATCATTTTTGTTTCAACAACAAAAATATTCCATGTTCGAACTAACGTTTCCTGAAATTCATAGCTTAACTAATAGACGTTAAAGGTGAAATTTGCAAATCGTCGACTGCATTTAAGGCGAAGCCCTAAATACCAAGATGTAATGCAATGGAAAGCGTTGATTGGTGCCTATTATCGTAAAGACTGCACTAATCGTGACGCCGCCGCGCCGACCGGACTATTGTTAATGGCGTTGGAATGACCATGAAATTATTAAAGAAAAGGCAAGGCTAGATTGTATTTAGTTTTCGTATTTTTAAGCACACTTATAAATGTCTATTATAAATGTCAACAGGTTATAAAATTTAAATACACGAGATTAAATTTTGAAACTATTTTTGTTGAAATATACTGTGTCCTTTAACAATTAACACTGCTAACTATGTAAATCTCATATTACTAGCAGAGTCCCGCGATGTTACCCGTGGTTTTTCATACCACGGGTGACGCCGCGGGTCGAAGCTAGTCTAAAAAAATAACCTAAGTTACTCCTTATATCATCAGCTACCTATCAGTGAAAGTCTCGTCAAAATCGGTCCAGCTGTTCCAGAGATTAAACGGAACAAACAGACAGACCAACAAAAAAAAAAGGTAAGTATATGTATTGTGGTCTTACTGGTACTTACGCAATAAGTAAAAAATGGTTATTTTATTTACAAACAGACACTAAAATTTTATTTATTTGTATAGATATTACAATACAACAAGTTCCATTGCGTGCCAGAGAAGGTACATATATGCACTCTTAAAACATTACTCCTACTTGGACGTTGTCGGGTAAAGCAAAATCGCATTGGACCCGGATATATTATGTACATAGAATTTGAATAACATTTATCAGCCCACACGCGCTAAATGCGGCTTCTGCAAGTTCCGTTTTCGTTTTCCTGTTACTTGAATTATCACTATTAAATGGAATATATCATCAGACACAAATACAATGAAAACATGTATCTTTTTTTTTATTGCTATATGGGTGGACGAGCTCACAGCCCGCCTGGTGTTAAGTGGTTACTGGAGCCCATTGATATTTACGACGTAAATGCGCCACCCACCTTGAGATATAAGTTCTAAGGTCTCAAGTTTAGTTACAACGGCTGCCCCACCCTTCAAACCGAAACGCATTACTGCTTCACGGCAGAAATAGGCAGACTGTTGGTACCCACCCGCGCGGACTCACAAGAGGACCTACCAACAGTAATTACGCAAACTATAATTTTGCGGGTTTCATTTTTATTAGACGATGTTATTCCTTCACCGTAGAAGTCAACCGTGAACATTAGATAACTAACACCGCCGTGCCAATTTCTACGCTGGAGTAGCAATGCGTTCCAGATTGAAGGGTGGGGCAGCTGTTGTACTACAGAATGGAGACTTAGAAACATGTCTCTGGGTGGGCATTTGCATTGGTCACGTCTACGGGCTCCGGTGCCTATTCACCATCGGATAGCTCGTGAGCTGGTTCATCTGTCTGAGGACTAAAAATAAAAACTCTCTGATTTTTTTATTACTAATATTGAGCACGTGCTTGGACACGTGACTCTTCCTTTGACAATACAAAGAGCCATAACACCGTATGTGCACAAAGAATATGTTAAATGCACGATAATTGAGCGATGAGCTAACGCGAACTGTGATTAGTAACACACGACATACGAACAAGGATGACAATGTTAGCTAGTTATGGAATGACTATGGTGGTCGTGGAACGACATTGACGTTGTCATTTTAAGAAAAACATTTTTTTTTTTTATATTTGTCAACAAACTCACGGCTCGCCTAGTGTTTATTAATCACTAGAGCGCTTTGTCCACCAAAACAGAATCTTCGTTTGCTTTGTGGCAGAAATATAAGACCTAATCGGGTCGTAGCACACCATATTTTACCAGAAATTTCGCAAATCCACAAAATCTTGCCCGTGAGAAGGCCCCTGCTAAAAAAGTGAAATTTATCAACAGCGACAAGGGCACGGCGCGTATCAGATGAGGAAAATTGACATTTGGTATTTGAAAAAGTGATACTTAAAATGTATTTGGCAAAAAACGGTCGCTTATAACGCTTCAACGACAACCCTAGCTGATGTGTTAACAATTCAAGCTACCCAATTACATACATACAATACAAGGTGGGATTTACTTTAAAAAAAATGTAATTTATACGATGATTCGTGGGTAGATTTTTTAAAATTTTTGGGGCGATTTCTCTCGTCCGCTTATAATGTTAAAATCTATTATTTAATACAAAATTTCTCTTTTAAACTGTTTTATGTATTATACGGTGTTTAAATCCATGAAAATTATCCACTTAAAAAGTTATCTTTAAAAAACCTTATGCCTCTAACGTCAATATTTTTTTATATAGCTTTTTATTTATTTTTAAACTTTTTTTAATTACATAAAATGTTGTTAACACGCTTTGTTTTCGCATGCAGTAAATCATAAAATGTGTTTAAAGACTAGAAAAACCCGCGTCGTATCGTTAGCATTGTGAATATGCAAATAGTGCCACGATAAATACTCGAGATAAGAAAACGGTGACCATGAATACATTTTAAATTTATATTTCGATCATCTCTATTATATTATTGTTAAACATTTCTCTTCCTCTCATTGTAAGTAATTTCCGCCACCCGTTGACACCGGCAATAATAGGGAAATATCAAAATCGAAAAGGATTCAATTTAAGCTTGTCTGGAGAATATAATAAAAGTAGTTAAAAAAACCGTGGAGGGTAATTCGTTCCAGGACCCAATTTTTCGATTCCGATCCGGTAGTAGATTCATTCGCAAAGCAGCTACTCTTGAGTTGTTAGGTCTCCCTTGGAGGCGCTCGGGTAGCTGTTAGAAAATCTCGCCCCTTCTGGCTGAGTCTTTGCTCGCCCACCTGTCCTTGTGAAACTGGAAAGGCCTCCGGGCCACTAGTAAACCATCAATCATAAAATTAAAATAAATAACCTAATGCTACACAGTGATGACACACGCAAATTTGTTAACAAACGCACTGTGAACGAACACAGCAGTTTCATATAGATGACTGAAGGTACAACAACGCTACTCTGTTCTCTGATGGCGGGCAGCATGAGTAATGGGCATTTTGGACAATATCTAAAAACTACTTTAATTAGTGGCTCAAATGAGTGAAATGAATGCCCACATAGCCGTGAACGATTTACGTAATATATACAAGATAATGATCTCAATTATATTGCAATAAATACCTTGCCAACCGAAACGCATACTTGTGTATTCATAAGACGAAAATAGACAGGACCAGTTAGAAGATCGTCCTCACATTCTCACAGGTCAGTAAAGTTAGTAGTTCATAAATTTCATTATCTTTCTCATTATTTAAAGAGATTCGAAACATTCTCAGAACACATACAGTATACTACTACATTTTAATAAATCACAATTACTTCAGTCCACTACTTCGATATTACTGTCAACCTCACTAGATGGCATTAAGTAGTTACAGAAACCCATTTGCAAAGTTAATTCCACCCAGAGATATGAAATAGACCTATTAGTTATTCTGTATAACTGTAGCTCCACCAAAAACACATCACAGGTTCATTGCGGAACTTTATGATGGTACTGCAGCCTTAGAAAACATATAAATACTATTATGATATAAATAGAAAATACTGTAAGAGTATTAGATTGAGTTAACTAGTATTTTTTTATATTTTAAAAATCATGGTCACCCTTGCTTGTTATGAGACAGGGATGCTAATATGTCTTCACACATGTTTTATTGCTCATTATATATTTACACAAACATTGTATCCATGAAACAAAAAAAACCCTATTTTGCCTTTTTCAAAGATTTCATATCAAATTTTCTCAGTCAATACTGAACATACTACCAATTTCTGGTAACTAATCAAGTTATCTATGCATTCTTTTAAGAATTAATATATTAGTGTTATCTGTATTATTTTACACTGCATATGACCTTTTTATAGTTACCACTTAGATGCTCGACAATAGTTTTTGTTATCATGTTTGGCCATACATCTCATTGAACTTGTGTTAACAGAACTTATACTTCGGTTGGCCGACTCTGTTAAGGCAGAAGTTTAATTGCAGCAGATATGAGGAAGATTGGAATACTACTACTCACCAGAGACATGAGTCCAAGTCTCATATATATTGTATAATAGCTGCCCCACCCTTCAAACTGGATTACATTATTGCTTTTGTACCCGCCTACCAGATTTAAGCACTAGCACAGTTGCTATGCTCTATATGAGTTCTATAGGGTATAGAAACCCACATCAGGCTTTAAACAATCATTTTAAATTATAATTTTTTGCCAGTGATAATAATACTAGACGAATACAATGTTTACAAATATTGATTGTTTTAAAATTGTATACTTCATTTTATTTACATAAACCACAAACAAGTTTTCTTTTTCTGGTTTAGAAATGCATGTTCTTTGTTTCATTGACTTCATGTACTCAGAGATTATTTTTGTCTTTATTTTTGGCAAATTCGAGTGATTCTTTCGTAAAAGTTGGAAATTTGTTTTCAAATTTTTTTATGTGAACAATTACTATTGTTGATCATAAAGACTATCCAATGTTTATGAACGACTTTTCTATGGGGAACGTGAATTCTCCGTACTTTAGACAGAGTTGTAAAAATTGTGTATAAAAACGCTTCTTTAATTTAAAACTCCCAATTAGGAAATAAATACTCACGGCCATCACCATTTCGAAGGGATACTTGTGGACCCTAACGGGAGACACGTATTCTTGCACCATTTTCGGAGGCACTAAGTACGTTTGATCAATATAAAACAATAAAAAAGGATCCCGGAATCCTGAACTAGCAAGGATTTTTCACACAATAATCATAATGTCTTAATTCCTTTCACTCACGATCTTGTATGACAACAAAAAATCTCGCGCGTTAAGTCAGAATGTACTCGTCTCGTAGTGAACTTGAAATCGAGTTGGGAAAAGTGGAAACTGGAAACAAAATGGATTGTTTGCTGTGAAGTTAGGTGCAAATCTGATTTTGACATTTGAATGAATTTGATGAGCAGTTTTGTATTGCCAAATAAAAAAATGTTAAGCGAACGAAAACGAAAAAACAGCAGACTATTTGCCAGTAAACCAAAGAGTCCAAAAATGTAGTAAAAGATAGTTATAAATAGTTAGTATACCTAGCTAGTGTTGATTTAGAAAAGACAAGGATGATGAGTTCGTTTTCATTTTTATTGATTTTCGTTTTTGTTTTAGTACAGTAAATAAAATGTTTTGGTATTTAAGAAGTATGCTATGGTTACTTAACAGTTCAAAGAAAGCATTACATGTACAAGAAGAAAAAGCATAAACATAAGACGTAGAACAAAATCAAGAGTAAATTACTCTTTCACTTTTCAGATTCTTACAAAAAATATTTCTAAATAGGTATTTTTAGTGAAACTAAGGTGGGCTAAAGTGTCGTGTAACCTATGTCTGTAAAAAGGTGCCAGCTGCTAACTTCAAGACAGTGAGTAAGCGGCCCCTGACAAAGCACGAATGTTGCTTTAAACAATTTGAAGAAAATTTCTTCTTAATTGTCAACGCAACCAAAATTCTGGCAAAATTGTGCGCGTTCGTGCCCGATGTCTAGTGCTGAAGTCGCCGATAATTCCGTTGACCCCCCGGCGAAAAAGCGGAAACTAAATACAGGAGAAGCGCATTCGAACAACTCGGCAATGGCGAACAATGGAGCGCGCGTGGAAGATGAAATCGACGAGAGTCTGTACTCGCGCCAGCTCTACGTGCTTGGCCACGACGCTATGCGTCGGATGGCGAGTTCTGATGTCCTTATATCTGGCCTTGGCGGTTTAGGTGTCGAAATAGCGAAAAACGTTATCCTTGGTGGTGTAAAGTCGGTAACTTTGCATGACGACAAAAATTGCACCGTGGCTGATCTTTCCTCGCAGTTCTACCTTTCAGAGACTGTAATTGGTCAGAACANCCAGCTCTACGTGCTTGGCCACGACGCTATGCGTCGGATGGCGAGTTCTGATGTCCTTATATCTGGCCTTGGCGGTTTAGGTGTCGAAATAGCGAAAAACGTTATCCTTGGTGGTGTAAAGTCGGTAACTTTGCATGACGACAAAAATTGCACCGTGGCTGATCTTTCCTCGCAGTTCTACCTTTCAGAGACTGTAATTGGTCAGAACAAGGCTTTAACATCGTGCGAACAACTTTCTGAACTGAACCACTATGTGCCCACTACTGCTTACACAGGACCTTTAACTGAAGACTTTTTGCGTAAGTTCCGTGTTGTGGTCCTCACAGGAGCATCGTGGGCTGAGCAGGAGCGAGTAGCTGCGTTCACTCACGCCAATAACATAGCATTGGTCATTGCTGATACTAGAGGCCTGTTCTCACAAGTGTTCTGTGACTTCGGACCAGAGTTTACGGTGTTAGATGTAAATGGAGAGAATCCAGTCTCAGCTATGATTGCAGCCATTACGCAAGACTATGAGGCAGTTGTGACATGTTTGGATGATACTCGTCACGGATTGGAGGATGGCGACTATGTTACGTTTAGTGAGGTTGGTTTAACGTGTAACTTGGTAGTCAGCAATCAAAGTTAATTTGCCCAACTCATAGCACTAAAAATAATGAGTGTTTTGAGGTAAAAAACAACATGACTCACCTGGTTGAATAACCTCTCTGACTATAAGATGCTAAAGATCAATTTCTTGCATAAATTAATATTATCTCTCAGGTTATCCATAAAATCAGATCAGGTCAATAATTTTATTAAGTAAAACATTCAAAATTAATTAATATTGTTTACAAGAAACTTCTTAATGACAATAATATTTAAAAACTTTATTATCTACAGGTTCAAGGTATGACAGAACTAAATGGCTGTGAACCCCGCAAGATCAAAGTCCTTGGTCCCTACACTTTTAGTATAGGTGATACTACAAACTTCTCCAAATACATCCGAGGAGGTATTGTTACACAGGTCAAAATGCCCAAGAAGATCAACTTCAAGCCTTTGAGTGAATCATTCAAACAACCAGAATTCTTGATCTCTGATTTTGCCAAGTTTGAATATCCACAGCAGTTGCATTTGGCTTTTGCTGCTCTTCACAAGTTCCAGGCTGGAGAAGGTCGTCTGCCAAAGCCATGGAATGATGAAGATGTGGCAAAATTCAAGCTGTATGTGAAAACTGTTCTAGAGGATGGACTTTATAAGGATGAAGATTTTGAAGTGAATACTGAATTATTGGAAACATTCTGTAAGGTAAGCGGTGGTCTAAAACATTGTTACACTAGTCATCAATAAGCAAAAAAAAAATTATAAATAAAACCAAGTAATCTATATATATAAAAATGAATTACTGTTCGTTAATCTCGCCAAAACTCAGGAACGGCTGGACCGATTTGGCTAATTTTGGTCTTGAATTATTTGTGGAAAGCCCAGAGAAGGTTTAAAAGGTAGATAAATATGAAAATGCTCAGAACTAAATAAAAATAAAAAAATTGTTTTTCCTTTGATGTGTCGGCCGTCAGACGATTCCTTTTGTTTGTTTTAAGTTTATTTTATACAAAAGTTTAGTTTAGACTGAGGCACTACGAAGTCTGCCGGGTCAGCTAGTTTTAGATAAAGATAATATTAAAATGTATTAAATATTATTTAAATTATGTTTAAATTAGTAGTAGTACTGTGAGTTACAGCTTATTGCTGTACAATAATAATAAAACGATTTATTTCATATTAGTTGGGGATATTGTCAAAAATAGACATAAAGAAGAAACAGCAAAAAAGTTAAATTTGGAAGAAAAAAAATACGTTGGACCTCTTATTGGGTCTTAGGATTAAATTTTTTCTTATATTTTATTATAATATTATTTCAGACAGTCCCTTATCAGTAGAAGGCTTTTTATATATTTTGTAAACTTACACCTGAAGGTACAACTCTTCTACTTTTATTTACAACAAATTATAATAAAATTATTTTCTACCTTCCTGTTGTCTTTCATATAAACATTTGTAATTACACACTTGAAATACCTGTTTGATTAAAAAAAAACTAGTATTTTTACAATACATTAGTGCGTAAAATAATTTATAGATAGTTTATTGCACTTAATGCTTCACTACTGTGACATGCTGTTTTTATATGGGCAGTGGTAATTGTTCCATACATTTAGTGTGTCCAGGTTTTAGGATAAAATATGATCATTCTGGATGTTTCCATCTTTTCAAAACAATTTCCAGGGAACCAGCATTGTCTCAAAAAATCATGATTATATGATTGGTCTTAACATAACATTTAATTTAATTTCTTTTCCAGATATCGTCAGGAGACCTAAATCCTATGAACGCAGCGATAGGCGGTGTGGTTGCTCAAGAGGTAATGAAGGCTTGTTCTGGCAAGTTCCACCCACTTGTACAGTGGCTTTACTTGGATGCTATTGAGTGCTTACCTAAAGACCATTCAACTCTCACCGAAGAAAATTGCAAACCAGTCGGTTCACGATATGATGGACAGGTAGCTGTTTTTGGTAGAGAATTCCAAAAGAAACTTGGACAGCTTAAGTATTTTATTGTGGGTGAGTATCCGGGACTCTGAACACTTTTAAAAGTTTTGATTGATTGACACATGAGGAGATTGATAATCATTGTCATTCTCCTTATGTGCAAGACCATTATGGTGCTGAGAGGCTCCCATGGTCAACTGCTATCTATTCTAGTCTTAATTTATATCACACACTGTATTTTTAATCTGCAAACAAATATTGTTACCATCCCTTGGAACTTGACAAAATTTTCTAGCATCAGTTATTCTGTAAATATGATATGCTGTTTGGGAAATTGCAACATAAAGTAATTAAATCTTCAAATTCAAAACATTCAAAATCAGCACAGATCAACTCACATAAAATTATTTTAATTGTTCTTTTATCTGTTGAGCCAATGTAATAATTACAATTTTATACAATTAACACTTAGATCTCATGTCTTAGGGTTTCACACTCAATTTTATGGAACCTGTGTGGTCTCTTACATATATGGAACATAAATAATTCTGTAAGCTCAAGATTGGTAATTTACTAATGAATAATAGTCAATATGAACTATCTGTATGAAGTTACACAAAATATTAGTAAAGTATCATATGAAGTTTATTTCTTCAGGTGCTGGTGCTATCGGATGTGAATTATTAAAGAACTTTGCCATGATTGGTGTGGGTGCTGATGGAGGACAAATTACAGTCACTGATATGGACCTCATTGAGAAGTCTAACCTCAACAGGCAGTTCTTGTTTAGGCCTTATGATGTACAGAAACCGAAATCTAGTACTGCAGCTAATGTAAGTTGCTGAATTAGTAATAAAATTTGAGATCACTTGTGTACTGCTATAGAGGGCACAAGAGTAGTCATCTACACTAGGGTTTGCTTCGAGATTACTCCCTGAACCAGTGAATTCCAGTTTAATTACAAATTCAATGTATAACAGTTTTTACTCACCTAAGTTTTTTATGTTTCCCTAGTTGGTTTCAGATATTACAGTTTTTTTTTTACTTTATTGCTTATATGGGTGGACGAGCTCACAGCCCACCTGGTGTTAAGTGGTTACTGGAGCTCATAGACATCTACAACGTAAATGCGCCACGCACCTTGACTTATGAGTTCTAAGTTCTTAGTATAGTTAGTTACAACGGCTGCCCCACCCTTCAAACCGAAACGCATTACTGCTTCACGGCAGAAATAGGCAGGGTGTTGGTACCTACCCGTGCGGAGACACAAGAGGCTCTACCACTAGTAACTATAAATATATACTGTAATACTCAAATACTTTATATTTTAATTATTTTTTTTTGTCTCAGGTAATTAAACGCATGAATCCAGCAGTCAATGTTTTGGCACAAGAAAACAGAGTTTGCCCTGAGACCGAGTCCGTCTACAATGATGCATTCTTTGAAGCATTGGATGGTGTAGCCAATGCACTCGACAATGTCGACGCCCGTATATACATGGACAGACGGTGTGTGTATTATAGAAAACCTTTATTGGAGAGTGGCACCCTTGGAACTAAAGGAAATACACAGGTTAGTAAAATCAAAAGCATTAAAGATAAATTTTGAAATAACATGAAACGTTGAATAAAATTAATTGGTTAATGATCAAATATAAATTAGAACCCTAAAAGAAAAAAATAGAGTTATGAATTGATTTAACGTTGTCCAGTACTTATACTGGAAACAAAGATTTTTAAGTATCATTAACTATTCAAACTTGGTAATTTAAATAAAAGTTGTTTTATTACTGATATCTGAATCTTCACAATCTTTTAAACATAAATCAATAATATTTCATAATATATAAGTAAAGAAAATATTAAGCAAGATATAATCATATCAAAAGAAATAACATTAATACATCAGTAATTTACGTTTTAGGTGGTTGTTCCATTCCTTACGGAATCTTACAGCTCATCCCAGGACCCGCCTGAGAAGAGTATCCCTATTTGTACGCTCAAGAACTTCCCGAATGCCATTGAACACACACTACAATGGGCTCGCGATGAATTCGAAGGTTTATTCCGTCAGGCTGCTGAGCATGCTGCTCAATACTTGCAGGACCCGAATTTCTTGGACCGCTGTCTTAAATTGCCTGGTACTCAGCCTTTGGATGCTATTGAGAGTGTGCGAGTAAGTGTATATAATATATTTTTTATTACTCATAGTAAATATTGGTATATATTATACGTAAACGGTATGTATCTGTTTATTGTATGTATATATTTTCTATAATAATGTATTGTCCATGGTACACCGCAAGACCGCCAAAAAAAACAAACAAAAATGTGTACAAATGTATCTTTTTTTGACTGTTTTTTGAATGTAAATTGTTTTGGTGTGCAATAAAGTGTATTCTCTCTCTCTCTCTCTAAACAAACTTACTGTTTACCTAATAAACTGATCACTGCCCTTCCATACAGCTATGCAAGGGCTACTGCTATCATGGAGTACTGCGCCCTCTCTCATTAAATTTTTCCTAATATCACTTAACACGCACAGACAAATTTTAGAATGAAAACCCTTCCAATGTATTTTCCTGTTGCTATGAAGTAAAAGGTCAGCTTCTACAATAGAAACGAAAAATTATACTCATTTCATCCATTCATTTTATTTGTTTCTCTTGAAAAAAACAAAGTGTAAATCTCCAAAATTGTTAAATTACAGAACGCTATAAACGAACGCCCTCACAGTTTCGACGACTGCGTGATATGGGCGAGACATCATTGGGAGAACCAATACGCGAACCAGATCAAGCAGCTCCTTTACAACTTCCCGGCGAAACAGTTGACCACGAGCGGAGCGCCTTTCTGGTCCGGACCGAAGCGTTGTCCTTCACCCCTCGCCTTCGATCCTAATGATGAACTACACGTCGATTACATTGTTGCTGCAGCGAACCTCAGGGCTACGGTATATGGAATCCCATCCTGTGTTGACAGGGAAAACATCGCCAAGCTTGCCGCTAGCATACAGGTACGTAAAACTCTGAATAAATCATTGTTTAAGGCAAGAGTAACTCCACTTATTTTGAATCTTGGATCATGTGATAATAGGTTTTAGAACAATTTGGTTCATACACCGGATACATCCGCTTCTATTTGATAAATATTAACCAGCTAGTAGCAAAGGCATTGTAAATGAAACATCTATATCTATACTAATATATAAAACTACAGTGGTTTTTTATGGATGTTCCGTTATAACTACTGAACCATACATCCGATTGACTTGAAACTCGGTATCCATGTAGAAAATACATGTACTTAATGGATAGGCTAATATTTATATGTGTGTTGGACTCCTTAATAATAATGACAATAAATAATAATGTTAATTTTAAATGCCCAGCGAAGCGGCGTACGGCTAGTCAAACCTACATTTGTTAAAATTTATTAGTTTCTTATAAACTAGAACATTACTAACAGAAACAAAAATCCTATCGTATCCTTGACATTTGATGGTGGTTATTTTATTCTATTCTATATTCAGGTACCGAAATTCAGCCCCAAATCCGGCGTGAAGATCGCGGTGAGCGATGCTCAGTTACAGCAAAACAATGACGAGATGGATCAAGACAGGGTTAAGAACATGATCGCAGAGCTGCCGTCGCCCAGCAAACTCGGATCTCTTAAGATCACACCGCTAGAATTCGAAAAAGATGATGATACTAATTTCCACATGGACTTCATTGTTGCCGCCTCTAACCTGCGGGCTACCAATTACAAGATCACACCAGCCGACAGACATCGCTCTAAACTCATCGCTGGCAAGATTATCCCTGCCATTGCCACCACAACATCCGTAGTGGCTGGCTTGGTCTGCCTCGAACTTTACAAACTGGCCCAAGGCTTCAATAAGCTAGAAGTGTTCAAGAATGGCTTCGTCAACCTTGCCCTGCCCTTCTTCGGTTTCTCTGAACCGATCGCGCCGTCGACCAATACCTACAATGAGAATAAGTGGACATTATGGGACAGATTTGAAGTTAAAGGAGAGATTACATTGCAGCAATTTTTAGATCACTTCAAAAACGAACACAAGTTGGAGATCACCATGTTGTCTCAAGGTGTGTGCATGCTTTATTCGTTCTTCATGCCCAAAGCCAAGCGGCTGGAACGATTGAACCTGCCAATGTCGGAGGTGGTCACAAAAGTGTCCAAGAAGAAGTTGGAACCGCATGTGAATGCATTAGTTTTTGAATTGTGCTGCAATGATGATGACGGGAACGATGTGGAGGTCCCGTATGTAAAATACACTCTGCCTTAGTCTATTTAATGTGATCTTGAGCCCTCCCAAAGTGGTGCAGAAAAATAATAGTTACCACTACGCAGAGAGGGTTCTATTTAATACCGTGATAGTTAATATAAATTGTGTGATTATATTTGTGCTTCAGAATTTGCTTCAGTCTAAATTTCAAATAATTACTCATAGTCGTTTCGTTTCATTCGTTTGCTCACTGTCAAATGATGATGTGCTGCATTTTTATTATTATTTTACGTCGTGAAAAAGTTTTTTACCAAATTCGATATTTTATTGTAAAATCAGATGGGTCTGTATGTGGAACGAAAAATAAATAAAAAACCAACATACTTTTGTTTCATTTATTATGTAAAAAGGTATAATAACGAAAATATTCCGGACAACTTGCTCGGTAGTGCCAAAGTCAAATGGTTCAAGAACTTGATTATTTGAAGCTCTTCACAAAAAACGTTAAAAAAATAAACAATCTTTATAAAATATTTCAAAAACAAAGTAGGTATTATATTTTAGGTTACATTTAGTATGCATATAGGTATAAAAGCAAATACGCCTCGGACACAAAACTCCAATAAGTTTTTAATTTGTCTTTTATCAACAGTAAATATTGAAAAGATACAGAAAATGACATAGATTTTCGTAAAACTTGATGAGCCCTGGAGTTCGTAGAGATAAGGAGCGCTCTACGGAGCCAAAATTAGAAGATTGTTTCTTTACATTAATCGATGAGTAATGTTTATCGGCTGAGGCTGTATTTGTTTATAGACCCTTACATATTGGGAAAACATAATTCAATAATTTAGTACTTATTACATTATTACAGTTTTTATTGTATATTACAGTATTACAACACGAGAGAGATCAAGTCTGCGGTGGGGTGACTAGAAAAGAGAAATACATTTTTTTTGTGTCGTTTGAAAATCAGTACTATTTTACTACTAGTGATTTGTATTTATGTATTTTGAAGTCTTATCTGTTTTGTTCAAGAGATCTTGTTGTGTGTATATACTAAAGTTACTTTCCGAAAACAAGCCCGCTGAGAGCCTAAGTGAGAGAGCGTTTGGATAATTTAAAACGAAAATGCTTAAGAGCAAAACTAATCTTACCAAAAGGAAATATGTAAATTTTAACTTTGATAGAAATTTAAACATCATAATTTTTTCAAATTTTGTTTGTAGCTATTTGTCAACATATCGATTAAGCTGTTAGTTCCCGTTTGCAAAACTAAAAAAGCATCATCTACCGCACCTACTCATCACCTCAGGCTGAGCAGGAAACAATATAATTTTTTTAAATCTAGGCGTGACTATTTGTTTTGTAAATTAGTTTGGCTGCAGTACCCACTAAAGTGCACCGACTGCTGCTGCCCAGTGACCCACACGTTGCAGAACATCAACTTATTTAAAAAAAAATACATACAAAGGCCTCATTTAAAGCAGTTAAAAAGGTTTTTTTTTAAATCGCATAAAAATACATTTTATATACCATTTGTTATGCTAAATAGAAATTACGAATACACGAAATTTATTTAAAAATTTAGAATACAATCCAAACTATAGGCACTTATCTTTCGGAAGCTTTAGCGAATGGAATAATTTAATTTACAACCATAATTTATCTCACTCTTATAACTAAAATAATCGGTAGTTTTGAACTTTGTTCTTTTGTGTAAAATTTTTGTAAGCGCAAAAAAGCTCCTTGTTAGCTTACCCTATTCAAAAGTTACATTTATTAAGACAACATTTTGTCATAAAAGTTCAAAATGTCTGCAGTGTTACCAGCGTCTGACTCAAAATACTTACCTTAAGCTGGCAATTTTAAAATATATTTAGTTAATAATAAGGCAGCCCAATTTAATTTATCTTCTAGACCAAATTACATAAATTAGCCATTTTGTAAATTTTAAAATATTAAAAATTTTCAGTTCATAGATCGTATTTATTAGACAGACAGTGGGCGAAAAGCCGCGGCATGCAAGTCCGCGGCGGGGCGGGTCAGCGCCACGGCCGACGCCGGGGGCTCCACCTCGGTCCCGGGGTGCACTGGCCGCTAAACGTCTCTGCAATTTTATATTCTTTTAAATATTTTGGGGAGATATATACGACAAAGGGAAGATCTTTCACCGAGCGGATGATATTGCTCGGTAGACCGACGGTCCGAATGTTGTTGTTCGGAACTTGTATATATGCGCTTTATCTTGAAAATGTCGTAAGTGAGATTCAGGCATCTGTCAATTATCTTGCGTTGTATGATGGCTACCCGCCACATCACTCCCCTCCGAGACTGGAGGTCGTGTCATTTTTAGTTAGCGTTGTCCGTGCTGAGATTAGCTTGCAAGGGCCAGTGCTGCTCGAAGTTTGCGGTGAGTCGAAACTGAGCTTGAATGCTGCGTGATTGTCGCCAGTGCTGCTCGAAGTTTGCGGTGAGTCGAAACTGAGCTTGAATGCTGCGTGCGTGTCGTCAGTGCTGCTCGAAGTCTGCGGTGAGTCGAGACTGAGCTTGAATGTTGCGTGCGTGTCGTGCGTAGTCCATGTGATGCAGAGCTGCCACGCCGGAGATGTGTGACCCCAAGCGTTGATGATCCGGTCGTGGGCTGCGATGAACTGTAGCGGCGTGATGAGGCAGTGAAGTTGCGTGCCGTAGAACCAGGAAGCGCGGTGAGTCGGCTGCGATGGTCCTGTTGAGGCTGCGATGCTGGCTTGCTGTGGGACGACTGTCGATGACTTGCTTTTATCTGCGAGAATGCGGGAATTGCGGTAGCCGAATTTCTTGATGCGCTGATGATGAATCAGAAGATTGCGTGTTCACATCACGTCGCAGGTCACCAGTTTGGGAAGGCTTAGACGACAAAGGGAAGATCTTCCACCGAGCGGGTGATATTTGCTCGGTAGACCGACGGTCCGAATGTTGTTGTTCGGAACTTGTATATATGCGCTTTATCTTGAAAATGTCGTAAGTGAGATTCAGGCATCTGTCAATTATCTTGCGTTGTATGATGGCTACCCGCCACAATATAACCAACTATTGAAGTGAAACTTCTAATGCGACATCCTAAAAGGTTGCGTTAAACGTTTAACGCTCCTGGGGAGGGGGAATAGAAAGAGACAGAGCGGGGGTGAATGCGTGGCACTCAAACGCATGCGCGTAGTATACCTGTTACAGGTCAGCCGCAAGCGTTAGCAACGAGTAGCGTCAAATATTTTAATGAAGTATTTAAATACATAAATATATATTTTAATTCCTATCTATAATTTAAAACATATATAAATTATAAGTGTTGAATATGTCGCATTTCTAATACATAGTATTCCCTATTACAAGAGAAATCCGATTTAAGGATGAAAAATGAAGTAAACCACAATACTACACACCGAAAAAGAAGTTTAACTTCATTCACGTACACCAAGTTGCACGCGCAACGTTTTTTTAAATGATGGTGCCCAGTGGGGTAACGCTTGTTATTCAAACCACGAGTCTATGCACAAACAGATCTTCAGCTTTCTGGCACAAATACGACAGGGAGATGGTACCCATCTGAGCTGACTTGCTCGCACGACCTTTCTGTGTGCTTAGTGGGAGCTATTTAACGTTCTCGATAGCGTAAAAATTAACTCAAATTTGTATGGAGTTGGAAAGTTTGGCTACGTTTGCCGCTAGAGGCGCTGTTCCAATTCCATACAAATTTGAGTTAACTTTTACGCTATCGAGAACGTTTAAAAACTCGCACTTAACACACTGTATTAAAATTAGAACTTGGGAAAATCCGTGTAAAAGAAATGATGAAATTTATGGTAAAACAGTACGTCTGTGACATTTGAGTTGTGTACCTCTTTGTCCGCTATTTATTCTGGCTAAGTGCAATATTTACACTGTTTTTCGTTTTTGGACCATTTGTACGGGGACATGTGGAGTTCATTAGGATGCACATTTTGGAGCATTTGTTAGCAATACATTGACATTAATTATGACATGAACTTCGACATAACGACAGTTGCCAATTGAAAAAATAAACATCCAATCATAATGCACATTCAAAGTTAATTGAAGGGATGCATTAGGCACAGAATAATTGGGCCGATTTGAGATCGTTTATATCAATACCGTAATAACTTTCTGTAGCTTAATATAATTACGTTATAATTATATGTAGGTATAATAATGCGACTTGTGTAAACAAACACGTACAAAGTTCAAAGTGAACAAGTAGATATTCTCGCGAGCACTGTAAGAGTACATAAAGCACTGTCGGAATTGTTTGAATGTGTATTTACCCTTCATTCTCTTAAAAATGATTTTAAATTTACAGTAGGTCCCTATGCGTTCGCATCACACCACTGGGCTGCTAATACATTATACTTGACAATGACATGCGTTTGAACATGCTATTAATTTACCAACACATGAAAAAAAGAAAGATCACAAACAAAGGTGGCAATACTATTAGCATTCGATTGAAAATCTAGGAAATGAACAATACAAGGCAACATACATTTTTTGTTTGTTTGTATAAAGCTGTACATGGCAACACAATGCTTCAAGCTGGCAACATTTAGTCGGTGTTACCATAGTGGGACTGTGTCATGACCGCCGCTCCGGGTGCGCGTTTGTAGCGAGTCGGGAACGCGCCGGTGTGGCTTTGCGACATGATGTCCCTGTTTTGGAACATATTCTCTATTGAACCGAAATTGAAATTGCAATTGATTAAATTTAATTCTTTGATGCCGGGAGGGCTGGATGTACTGCTGTTGCATGTTTCCAACACTCGTAACGCAGGGCCTTATTTATTCAGTAATTATTTGACAATTTTTAGGGATTTTTAGCCAATGCGTATGAGGTTTTTTCGAGGCACATTTTTCTTTTTCTTTACAATCCGTATGAGGCTTGGTAGGCCTCACAAAAGTCCGTTTTTTAATACAGCCATACCCACAGAAATGTAGTTGCCTCCCGTAACGAGCAAAAGAACGCGATTTTGACAGTCTCATCGGGGGATAATCGCACATGGGGATTTTTAAACAGTATAAAGCAGTCAACATCTTAAAGGCTGTCTCGAAGTAAATGATGGGATAGCTCCCTGTTTCGCTTATTTGGAACATAAAAACCAGATTGTCTAAACGAAGTTATTAAAAGAGCAAATTTGTTCGAGACGATAGCTTCAAACCTTTAAAAACATATTATCAAGATGTGGTTACCAAAGCATTTCACTTTCCCCGATCCAAAGCAAAAGTTACACCCATATTTTCAATACCAATTAATGACGGATCAGAAAGAGAAAGCGGTGAAGGTTTCGTGCCTGAAAACTGCATTTGATTTGAAAAAGGTCGTATTTTTCAATAAATTTAAAGTCTTCCTTTCGACAGAGCTGCCACGAGGGATTCAAAGGATTTCAATCGAAAGGATTTTAATCAAAAACAGTTTTCAACGCTGAACTCGACCATACGTTTATTTTAAAACTACCCACAAAGTAAAAATATTCGCAAGAATCAAAACTCACGTTTGTCTGAAGGACCTGGGCGAGGGGCGGTTGGCGAGAGCCTTCCTCTTGCGATCGGCGGCGATCATGGCGCACCTCTCCGACGGACTGCTCGTTATGAAGGTGTCGTGTAACGAGTAACAAGCTGCAGTGATCTGAAAGAAACGTCTGTTTGAGCAGCACCAGTACCGAGCATAATCTGAAGTCTTCATGACCCTACAGGATAAGACGTCCGGTGCATTCGTATCTAGCGATGCAACGATGTTCGAATTCCGCAGTCGTGTAACAATTTTTCTAATGAAATACGTACTCGACAAATGTTCATGATTCACTTCCACGGTGAAGGAATAACATCGTGTAATAAAAATCAAACCCGAAAAATTATAATTTGCGTAATTACTCGTGGTAGGACCTCTTGTGAGTCCGCACGGGTAGGTACCACCGCCCTGCCTATTTCTGCCGTGAAGCAATAATGCATTTCGGTTTGAAGGGTGGAGCCGTTGTAACTATACTGAGACCTGACTGAGCATTTACATTGCAGATGTCTATGGTCTCCAGTAACCACTTAACACCAGGTGGGCTGTGAGCTCGTCAACCCATCAAGGCAATAAAAAAAATCTGAGAGAGACAGCGCAAAGTATTCTCCTCTTAAATATACCCGATCGAGAGTGCGAGATATTCGAGAGATTGGGAATAGGAGCGTGTGAATATTGTTAGCTGAGAGAAGTTTCGAGATCGGCTGATAAAACACAAAAGTATCAAGTTTTTTTTGCTTTTTTGAAAGTTTTTTTTTTTTAGAAAGTGTATTTGTAAGTTTTTTAGAAGTGTATTCGGCATAGAAATGTAAGTGAATTTTTTCTGTGGGTGCAAGGATTCACACACGATGCAAAGAAACTTTACAAAAGATAATAGATATTCGTCTAACACAACGTATGACGTAAATAAAGATATTTGGCGTTTTAAAAAAAATTTACGCCAGGGAAGTATGTATAGCTTCAAACCTTCAAACGTAACACACGCATTTCAAGGCATTAGATCGAAGTCTAGACTATAGTGTATGCTCTTTAAGCAGTCGCGATCAATAGCCGGTAGAGTCGCTGCCAGCATATTCAAAACTCATGCGCTCTCATTTTTATTACACCATGCTATTCCTTCATCGTACAGCTGCTCATAATCATGTATTAAGTACGTATATCCCTAAAACCCGTATTCTATGGCAATTAATTTAGTGATTACCTACTTTTTAATACGCTTTTATTAGCTTCAGACGTATGTATGTTTGTAACGGAATCTTTGAACATGATTTTGACACCCTTCAAAACGTCGGATTAACTCGAAATTTGTACTTATTAAGGACCGATTGCAATTAAATATTTAAAAAAAAATTGAAAAAATTTAAATTCAACTAAAAAATGAAAAATAAATAATAGTTTAAAAAAACTAACAAAATACGCTTTTATAGAAAATCCAACTAAAAAATATAAAATAAATTTTAATAAATTTGAAATAAAAATAGTGTAAAAAAATTATTTTAGTGTAAAAAAAAACGTGGGGTGCATGGTATCAGTAGTTATAAATATTTTATGAACAGATATGAGTAGAAGGGTTATTTTGATCAAAAGCACCCCAAATTTATTAAAATTTATTTTCTATTTTTTAGTTGGATTATCTATAAAAGCGTATTTTCTTAGTTTTTTTTTAAACTATTTTTATTTATTTATTATAATATTTAAATTAATGAAAACGATGAAAACATATAACGTACACACACAGACAAAGCCCAACCCAGTTCGTTTCCTTAACCCGGTCCAAGCCCCAAGCGCACCTGCTGTATGAGCCGTCGGTGCAGATCCACGTCCGCTCCCCTGATGCCCTCCCTCTCCTGGTGGAGTTGCAGGGCGCACAGCAGGGCGTCCTTGATCGTCTGCACGATGCCCCGGACCCGCTCGGTCCTCATCAGACGCCGAACGAGATAGCCCTTGGCGTACGAAACAATCTTCGTGGCCGCAGCCCTCTAGCCGATGCAAGTGAGCGTACATAAAATTGTGTTTCACTTTAGAAATGAATTCTTACATACACAAAGAACAAACAGTACACGTATATTTGAAACATTAAAAGAACAGAAGCAGTGCAAAAACACAATAATAATAAAAAAAAGCCAAAAAACACATTGTATGATGTTGAAGATGTTTATACGTGAGAGCAAAACCATATAACACGAAACATATCTTTTACTGCTTCACTGATACAATGATCACATCGTTCATGTATTTCATATACTCCTTTCGTATACAACCTCAAAGAAGGAACCTCAATACAGAAGAAGAAATAATTAACAGTTGTAAATTAAGGCAAATTAATGATAAAATGAAACTTTAAAAAAGATCTAAACAAAAGGAACATATAAGTTAGATCAATGCGATAAGGTCAGCAAATGCGTGCAACCGAACATGCTCAATAACACTTTACATCTGAAATAAATCTTTGCAAATTGTGTTCATTTCGTATAATCGGACATACCAACTAAATTCTCGAACATTACATTACCCAGATATTTGGAGTTCCAATCCAATAACTACCATCTTACCTATTCTTGAGTCTTAGTCTTATCCTACTGATAAATTCCCCGTTTGATGGCATGAAGTACGGCACTGACAAAAACATTGGCAACGACAAAAGCAGATTCAACACATCATAATATCATCGGTTGGCTTTAATTATGTTATGGAGGGTAGAAGTAAGGACCACCATCTCAGTGTACTAACAAGTGTCCGGTGAAAGGAAGCCAATTAAGATGCCGCCAAAATAGAAAGTGAAAAGATTTTAAAAACAGTGCCATAAACTACCACACTGCATTTTCACCCCACACACTTCACTCTGTTTTAAAACTGCTATATTCATATCATTTCCACTTCATACACTAGCAAATACCGTCGAGTTTTCCAACAATAACTTGCTGTTTACAAGTGTGCACTTTTTCAACTTGTCCCCTATACAAGATGGGTCCTCCTTGCCTCTACGCTCCATAAATGATGAGTACCTATTCAAAAAATCAACAAACCTCTCTGGCTGTGGGCTGACTATTGATAATTTTGGATTTGGGCTTCCGTAATGCGCACATCGAACTTTGAAGAGTATGGTCCATACTCCTGATAGCACCCTCTCTGGATCTAGGAGTATGAGTTGCGGTAACGTTTACTTCCACGCCGCACATGTGATTCAAAACTGTATTATTGTAATTGAATTCTTCGCTGTTGTCAGAAGGGAAGGTGACGTTTAAGTCCGCCATCGTATCGTTCGTTCGATCTGTCAGTATTTGTTCGTAATCGCGATCAGACGACGCGCTAGTGTCATAATTCAGCTTTCTGGATGTACTCCTGCGACTTGGAGAGTGAGTTCTGGTTCTACTACCTTCCGAATCAGGTCTAGGTGACTGCGTTTTTGTTCCATTTTGCTTCTTAATACTCCCAGTTATATCTCTGCTTTGTCTTAATATATCTTCGCAACGATTGATGTAGTTGTTTGTGTCGGTAAGAGTAGATGATACAGAGCTATCGTATGAAATAATTTCAGGCGATTTAGGGTTGATCAACTGACTTAAACTAACTGGTTTATTCGAAACATCTTGATTACTCTCCTCTTTGATTTCAATTGGTGATTTAGGGCTTATCATTTTAAGTTGCTTGTACAACAAGTTATTCTGATCTTCAAAGACCTGTTGAAGCAATTGTTGTTCCCTTTTCTGCTTTTCCACTAAACTAGCCATTTGAAGTAATTGTTGCTTTTGAATTTTCTCGTAAAGTTCCCTTACTCTTGTTGCTGGATCTTGTGATTCCGAAATTAATTGCTGGGGTTGTTGATTCACTGGGTCTACATTTTGTTTTGCTGTTTTGGGAGACGCCTCCTTCATTGCATTAATGTTAACGCTATTCCTTACAGGACTAAGTGATTTTTTTGGTTTTTGAATAGGTTCTGATTTAGGCGAAGATTTAGAGCTCATTCTTCCAGGTCTTTCTGCAACCACAGATCTAGCACGCGGAGGTGAAACCTGTGATGGTTTCTTGGACACAGCTCTTGAATTATTGACTCTGTTCACGCAGTTCAGGCTAGACGTTTTTGATACATTCTTTTGTTTTAATTCCATCGCCATGGACGACCACTTGACTTTAGCAGTTTCTAAATCCCAACTTCTGCGTTTTTTATTTGGTGCGCTCAAGTTCGACAACGATTCGCTCATAGAAATGCAGCTCATTTCGACTCCAGTGTTCAAAGATTCTACTTCTAAATGCGCTAGTAGTTGCGGACTCGGTTTTAAAAGCGTGTACGATCTTTGACGGGTGAGTTTAGGTACTATTTGTGACTCTTTCAAACTATCTGTATGTATATCGTTAAGGGATCCCGTGAAGCTTTTAGAACTAAGAGAAGGCGGTCCGTCTTGTGCCGAAGGCAAATCAGGAAACGGCTCTTCAACATTTTTATCTGAACCAATTATAAAATTTAATTTGGCAACTGTTTTATCGTTATTGATATCTTCAAATTCAATAGCTTGTCTTTTAACATTAACTTTATTACAGTCATAATCCCGTTCTGGTAGCTCTACTGGTTCCGAAATACAACGTATTGTTTCAGTGTCTTTATCGAGAAAATTTTTAGCTGTGCCGCTTATATTTAGATTTAAATCGATCCTAAATTTTGGTGATTTCGTCCTTTCAAGTACTGTGACACTAGAATTTATCGTATTGCAAACATTTGGCTGTGCTTTCGGTGATTCTTTAAGTGCTTTTTCGTAAACTTCATCGCTTAAAACGCTCGTTATTTTGCATTCAGTTTGTATTTCCTCAGATTCTGGAATCTCTGGCGCATCGGTCCTGTCTTCGCTAGATTCCGATTCACTTTCAGCTATATAGGGCTGAAGCAATGATATTCGCTTTTCGACTTCTTTGGCCAAAAGTTTGTAGTACTGCATCTCTTTGCGACATTCTTTTGATAGCTGAAACAAAGTTAATTAGGACATTGTAAAGACTTTTTAAGTATATGTCTGCGTGCACCGGATATTAAATACGGGCGTTGTGGATGTTAAGACATACATTAGAAAAAATATTAGGTTAGCTTTAGTTGTTAAATTAATGCATATCATTTTCACAAAACACATCGTTTATTTACGAGGCATACTTGAGGATGTATACTCCTAATGGAATGAATCTACTGATGAAGGACTCACAATGCTTTAATAGGAAAGATGCAGATTATGCTCTGGCCTATATTTAACCCTTTGACTGCCTTGTAGGTCACCGGTGCCCTACGCAGCGCACTGAAGTAATTACGTCGATCTCTGCTACTAAGCGCCTGAATTACCTAACTTTGCCTTCTTTTGTTTGTTAATGCATGTTTTAGACTTTTAGGTCTTTTAAATAGATTTATTCTTAGTATCTGCGTATTCGTCATTCCCAGAGTCTACTAGATATTCCGGCGCCTTAGTATGTAGATCGAAGAGAGAAATCGTCATAATTAGGAACTTCAGTGCGCCGCGTAGGGTAACGGTCACCTATGTGGCAGTCAACGTGTTAAAACACTTATGACTTAGAATACCGTTTAATGAAAATCATTAAGACTTGTTGTACACTTGTTGAGACGTTACAAGGTCTCCAGACCTTACAACTAACTCAGTCCTCAATGTGGGTGGCGGCATTTACGATGTAGATGTCTATGGGCTTCGGTAACCACCAGGTGGGCCGTGAGCTCGTCTACCCATTTAAGCAATAAAAAAAACTTTGTTTCGCTTGTAATAAAACGGCTTTTCCTTAAATTCAACAGAAATTTTATTGGAATAGCAGCCGATCTCAACAAACTATATAACTCAACCTCTGCCTATTTTCTAGTGGTCAATTAAGATTGTTTTTTGGTATACAACAAAAGCCGAATAAAACTATTATCATTTCTGTATTTAAAGTATTCTTCTGAAATAAAATTGTGTGAATGTTAAGAAACCATTGTGCAATCAAAATACCTAGTTTACGTAAAATTTTAGGGCTAACTTCTTCCGTTTCTTTGGTTATTTCAATTGTTCACCTGGTTGTACTGATTTAGATTCGGAATTTTGTTGCGGACAGCTCTTTTCGATTTGATTGAAAACACAGGCCTATCCAGTAAGTATCTGATTTTCAAAGTCATAATTTTCTGGGCATCAGTCGAGTTTGAGGCTATTATTTGTGTCTACAATTTTCACAGAGACCGAAAATGCGAAGTCAATACACAAGTAACAACAAGAGCGAGGTCGATGCAGACTCCTGCAGCACTAAGACTGAGGAGACGGCAGGGGTGCTCTGCGGGTTTGAGCATGAACCCATAACATTCACCACGAAACACATCATATTCCTTCATACAGAAATTACTGAAATTTTGCCAAAAGAAGAGAACGGCGGAATGGGAAACGCTGAGTTTGTTTTGCCGGTTCTTCTCAGGACTGTGGCTTTTTTTGGAACTGGTGGTAGAGTTAACATTGTTATTTATATTTTGACATTCAACAAGTGTGTTATACTGACATCTAGGTTGAAATAAATGATTTTGAATTTGAATTTGAACTAAATAATAAAATAATGCGTAAATAGTCTCACAAACACTCATAAATAGTCTAGTCAACAAGTTCAAAAACGTGTTAAATAGACATAAAGCTCCTAAAAATATGTACGATAGCTCATTGGATGCGGAATGATGTCTACAAAAATGTTTTTTAAGGGCTTATTAGCACATAAAAAATTGCGATTGTTATAAACAAAATACGATTAAAAAAAAAAGGAATTTGGTTTTTCCTTAATTATTTCTAAAATAATGATATTTAAGGAATTTTGAAAAAAGATCCTGAAAGAGAAGGAAATTTCCAATAAAAAAGTCCCAACTCCCGGAATTCTATCTCTATTATTTATAAAAAAAAATTAACGCTGAAAATAGCGCTCCGCGAGGTCGTTACGGCATAGGCGCGCCGTCTAAAAAGCCGGTATATCACCTAAAATATTTTTTTTATAGTATTAAATAACAATTTAAAAATTTGAATAAATTATGGTGTAATCTAAACACTTGAACGAAAAAAACCTCGGTGAAAAAAAAATTTTATATCGATTTTTCAAAAATTTACACCATTGTTAATTAACTAACTTTTTTCCAATCTCTGTTTTTATAAATTACGGTATAAAAGTTTCAATAATTCATCTATAATTTTTTCCCTTCGTGGAGCTCTTATCATTTAAGTACTTAATAAAGAAATGCAAAAAAAAATTTTTAATCTTTATTATTTTGATAATTATAATTTTTTTTAATTAACAAAAAATTTAATTTCTAAAAAATGTTATGAAAAATAGTTTTTTTCCGTAATATCTTAATATTGCTGTTTTTTGCATCTACCATAGGTATTAATTAACATTTAAAAAAATAAATTACGCTATTTGTTAAGAAATTGTTTATCTTGTTGTTTAATTGTTAATCTACATAAAAAAATTTTTTCACCGAGGTTTTTTTCGTTCAAGTGTTTAGATTACACCATAATTTATTCAAATTTTTAAATTGTTATTTAATACTATAAAAAAATTATTTTAGGTGATATACCGGCTTTTTAGACGGCGCGCATATGCCGTAACGACCTCGCGGAGCGCTATTTTCAGCGTTAAAAAAATTTATAAATAATAGAGATAGAATTCCGGGAGTTGGGACTTTTTTATTGGAAATTTCCTCCTCTTTCAGGATCTTTTTTCAAAATTCCTTAAATATCATTATTTTAGAAATAATTAAGGAAAAACCAAATTCCTTTTTTTTTTAATCTTATTTTGTTTATAACAATCGCAATTTTTTATGTGCTAATAAGCCCTTAAAAAACATTTTTGTAGACATCATTCCGCATCCAATGAGCTATCGTACATATTTTTAGGAGCTTTATATCTATTTAACACGTTTTTGAACTTGTTGACTAGACTAAAACACTCATTATCTATTATAATTAAAATTTCATGAAAACTGGTCATTGTAGTTTTGCTACCAAATAGTTGAAAATAGACACTAAAATAAATTCTAATGATTTAGTAGTGTTGGCTTTTTATGCAAAATCAATCATGTTAAAGGGACAACATTTGTGTTTTTTTTTTTATTACTTAGATAGGTGGACGAGCTCACAACCCACCTGATGTTAAGTGGTTACTGGAGCCTATAGACAGCTACGACGTAAATGCGCCACTTACCTTGAGATATAAGTTCTAAGGTTTCAAGTATAGTTACAACGGCTGCCCCACCCTTTAAACCCAAATGCATTACTGCTTCACGACAGAAATAGGCAGGGTGGTAGTGCCCACCCGCGCGGATTCACAAGAGGTCCTACCACCATTAAACTGTCGCCAAAACAGAGCTGTTGTGAATCTGGAATAAGATTCCTCTCATTTTTATTTGAGATGGCTATTCCTCTCATTGAGCATCAAGAAAAGTGTTTTCAAAACAGAATATTCTTTATTACACTTTAAAAAAATTACATTATAAATCTAGTAAAAACTAAAATTCAATAACCAAATAATAATCTCAGTCAAGCTTCAAGAAAATTGTATCTTATCATGAATTGGTTGCATTTTGAAACATACGGTTTGATAAATTATTATGAATAAATTGATAACGTCAAAAACATCATTCCAGATAATGTTATGTACATTTCAAGGTTTCATTGAAATTGACATGTTTAACCATATTCATGTAAAGAAATTATATAAGTTTCCACTAAGCAGACAAATTGAGACATGCCTAATCTTGATACGTGCCCTCTGATTAGTACATACATACAAGGGAAATAAAAAAAAAACATATGTAAGATACTTCTACAACGATCACAACCCTGTTAATTGTTCTGTAGTTTTAATAATAAATGAATAAGCAAATGCCTTTTTTGTTTATGTGCTCCCATGAGCACATTCTGAATTTTGACTTGATCCATGAAGTGTTTTGTGATGTGTCCAATTTGGGGTACAAATCCTATAGGATATGTGCCCAACATGTTATCACAAAGATCTTCCATAATGTCGTGTATTTAAAAAATCTGCATAATTGGTGGTTGTGCAAAGGAATTGATTAAGTCTGATATACATTACTCTCTAGATGTTTCTGCTGGGGTGAAGTCATCCACTCCAAATTAGAGCTTGGTAAAGCTCTTATGTAATACAAGCGAGAATGAGACTTCCTATCTCAAGGAGTAGTGGCATTCAAAATGCAATATTTAGGTGCTCTGATTGCCACAGCAATAAAAATCATTCATTCAGTGAAAGTAATTTTTGAAATTATAATAAAATATGTGTGTTACCTTCATACATAACATATTATGCTTATGCAAAACAATTACAGCATGGTGAAAGCTAATGATCAATTATTAACATAATGAGATTCTAGTTCATGGTATGGTAAACTTTTATTTATTTAAATACTGTTAAATTCTCAGCGAATGATTTGACTCATTTAATCATTTTGAGCCACAATCATTGATCATGTTACTGGTAGTAAGCCTTATTGTAAGTGTGCACAGATAGGCATATCCATCATGCCTGATACTGCTGCAAAACAGTCATACATTCCAGTTTGAAGTGCACTGTACAATACAATCAAGATTTCAATCTTATGTCTATAGCTGGGATTGCATTTATGTCCATACATCAAGATGACACTTGAGCTTTTGCATATGTTGAAAATAAAAAAATATTATACTATATTGAATAACTTACCAATGTACCAAACATTGGTAAGTTTTTCAAATACTTTTTAATAATTAGTATTCTCTTCCATGGCACCTATCTTTGCAAAATCTCAATATGCACTAGGAGCAAAGTAACTTTGTTATGAAACTATTAAGAAGACTATATATTGTGTAAGAGTAATTAGTCTATATCTTATCCTCATTAAGTACAATATGCGGGGAACTTAAAGTTTCGAATATATTTCCTTAAACAAATTTAAACAACTGCAAGTACTCACGACAGGCGGTAGAAGAGGCACACCATTAATCTTCATGCAGGATACATACTGTCCGGACTGTCGCACCGATTTCACATCCCACGGGTCGTTCATAGCGACGATTAAATGAACGCGACTGGATCACCTAGTCTATGCGGAAAAAATGCTAACTCACCAATCTAACGAGCTAAGCTGATTGCTTCCGATGTACTAGCACAACGGATATTATAAATTTGCATATTATTAATCTACAAAACTAGCGTTACCTAGTTACGGAGGAAAAAACTTATTTTCCACGGTCGCCGTCACCGCTCACCAACAACATTGTAATTTGTATATAATAACGTTAAAGTATGCTGCACATAATAAAGATTGTACCTATTCAATCAAACTGATGTCACTGATTACGTCAACACGACAATTTTTTATTTACCAGAAAGTTTAATTGCGGATTAAATAGCGATTCTGAAACATTATTAATCTGTTTCAAACGAAATTTGTCTCGATGAAAAAATTGTGTAGCTTATAATTTGAAAATATTTATTTGATTAAGGTGCGTTTTTCTTATTTATTTACGGCTTTAGTTTATTTTACCTTTTAGCCTAACCTGAATCTTCTTCAGTGAGCAAATTGATGGATTTTTAGTAAAAATCCACCAATTTGCTTTTTACTGATGTAGATTATTGTAGATCTGTTGAGATTTGTAGTACTTAATTCCAACCTTTTTTTTGAAAAACCTAAAAAGGCACGTATAAGTGGTGTTTGATTTTTTCTCACTCATACATTTTCACAAAATTATAAATCACAAAATATTTTTTCTCAGGTTCTTCCCAAAAATTCACTGAAGTCATGGTAAATAACCACTACTTTACTGAGGACTTATTTAATTCCATATCATATAGTTTCGATTATCGATATCATCCCAATTGTTTATAGTTTTAAAAAAATCAACTAACATTGAATTTTTCGATCCATTTTTTTTCTATGACAATTTATGAATGATTGACTATGCTACCGCTGCAAATGCTGCAATGTATGATATATGATACCTTCGCCTTTTCTGTTAGAAAAATTGAAGTACTACTACACCTACAATTCAAACTTACAGATACATTTATTTATAAATATTTGAAGGAACCAACAAAAAGTATAAAATATATATTATTGATTGTTAGACTTCAATAGTTTTGTATTGTTAATTTGATTTTTATTTTAATTCACCCACTCAAGTCATGAACAATAAATTGTCATCGTATCTGTGACCGTAATGAATATTTGTGATGAATTGTGAATAAGTATATGAAAATAAAAAATGTAGCCTATATTGATTACATATATCGCGGAAATACACAAATCAGTTTTAAACAATAATCTTGAAAATTACTCTCGACTACAGGCATCCTTTATAATGGATGTTTTAACAATGAAAAACATATGCCCCGCCGGAAAACAAGCGATAATATGGTTTATGCTAACCGTTTGTATATTTTTCATATCATTCTTTTCTGGAAGCCTTTTAGGATTCACATCTGAGATCTGGGCACTTACTTATTGGGGTCCCTCATTATATTTCTGTTTGTTGAATTTTATTTTAAGATATGCCTATAAAGGATTTTTATATGAGGTAATTATCCATGTTTCTTGCATCAAATGTTAACTATGTAGTACATTTTTTAAAAGTTTGAATGAGTGAGTTCACAATAGTGTTAAAGTTAAATCTGAATATTACTTTAAAAAATTATTACCCTAGATAAGATATGTCAAAATAACCAAAAATCTAACTTTCTAATCACATTAAGAATAGTTAATTAGTTACAATTTGTTTGAAGTTAATGTTAATTTGTTAAAATTCTCAATATTAATAGTTAAAACAAAAAAATTAAAAGTTTTCTGCTAGCTAGCTGTCACATATACATCCTCTTAAATTATAAATTATTGTTAAATATATGAAAACTAACTTAAAGCTTTAATTCCTGTTAAATTGCGTTTACTCTGTATAACTCCAGGTGTCAATACGAGCAGCATTCCTCGGAGCAGTATTCACAATAGGCCTCTATTTATCGACATTTGAAGATGGCATTAAGGTTTTCGGTCTCTACACCATGGTGCTGTCGATGTTCCATTTTTCTGAGTTCATGAGTGTAGCCCTTACAAACCCTAGGACATTAACAATTGATTCATATATATTGAATCACAGTGTGCAGTATGGAGTTGCAGCGGTCACTAGTTGGATTGAATGGGCCATTGAATATTATTTCTTTCCGGGTAAGAGCTATTTTTATGAACTTATACTAAACTTTAAATATAAATTGTATTATTATCAATATTGTCGTCCATAATTATTATAAAATATTTTTTATGTATCTCAGGAATGTGGACAAGATAGGATGTTATAATAGTCCTATCTTGTCCACATTCCTGAGATACATAAAAAATATTTTATAAATTGTATTAGGGGAGGCCACAGCTCTCAGTATTAAGGATTATCGTTGCAAGGAGGAAGATACTAAATAAATAGGAAGCTTAGTAACTGTTACTTGTGCCATAATAAAACACATCACAAGTGAAGCTCATTTGTTAAGAGGTGTGTCACCTCTTAAGTTGTGATGTATTTAAGCTCTGCTGACTTTAGTATTACATAAGTACTTTGTGCTTAATTGCTGTGGAGCACAAACGGACCCCTTCAAAATGAAGTAGATACTAACATAGACTAGAAAGTTCTAAATAAAATGATATGATTTAGCAATAAAAAAATATATATATAATTCTCCCACAGGGATGAAGACTTATTTCTGGTTGTCGAGCATAGGTGTAATAATGTGTATAGGGGGAGAAATATTAAGAAAATCAGCTATGTTCACAGCCAAAACTAACTTCAACCACACAGTGAGTATTCAAACACAAAACACTTAATAAGTCCTTTATTTAATTTCCATTGCCACCATGTCCAAAAATAGGTTTAGTTCGCATTTAACTGACATCACAATAAGGAAGAGCCGCATGAGACTAATTTTAAAATGAAAGTGAGAATATTAGAGAAAATAATGTTTTTCCTTATTGTACAGGTACAATTCGTAAAGAGAGTGGATCATCGGCTAGTGACGCACGGGGTGTACTCTCTCTGTAGACATCCAAGCTATGTAGGATGGTTCTATTGGTCAGTCGGTACTCAGGTGAGCCATTACCGGAACTTATTAAAGCTCTATTTTATATTAATACATAAGTATCAGCTAATATAATCAAGGGTCACATAGAACTACGTCAACCCGCATTGCAATTAATGTTGTTGCCAGTTAGAGCTGGCTATGCAAATTATGAAATATTCACAGGGTATTTAAATTGAATCGAAGAAAGCCACAAAACTTTACCTTAAAAGTGTTTTTTTATTTATTTATTTTTTATTGCTTAGATGGGTGGACGAGCTCACAGCCCACCTGGTGATATAAGTTCTAAGGTTTCGTCGTATAGTTACGACGGCTGCCCCACCCTTCAAACCGAAACGCATTACTGCTTCACGGCAGAAATAGGCAGGGTGGTGGTACCTACCCGTGCAGGCTCACAAGAGGTCCTGCTACCAGTAATTATGCAAATTATAATTTTGCGGGTTTGATTTTTATTACACGGTGTTATTCCTTCACCGTGGAAGTCAATCGTGAACATTTGTTGAGTACGTATTTCATTAGAAAAATTGGTACACGCCTGCGGGATTTGAACACTGTTGCATCGCTAGATACGAATGCACCGGACGTCTTATCTTTTAGGCCACGACGACTTCAATGGTATGGAATTCACCACATTTTAACACACTGATCTAAACGAATACATTTTATGAAATTTTCAGTTTATCCTCCTGAATCCTTTTTGCCTGATCATCTACACGCTAGCCTCGTGGATGTTCTTTAGGGAAAGAGTTTATGCTGAGGAATTGACACTATTGACATTCTTTGGTCCCGCCTATGAAGTCTACCAAAGCAAAGTCAGTACAGGCCTTCCGTTCATCCAGGGCTATGTACCAGAGAACACAGGACAGTTTGTCAAAGAAGACCATTGGAGTTACTGAGCTATATTTATCTCAAGATTCTCATCTCTGATTTTGACGTCGGCATCGCGCTTGATGACCAACGAACAAGTGATAAAATTCCAGATATCAATCAAACAACACATCAATTTGAATAGTAATCAATTAATTTAAGTACTTAACTTATTTACTTTTAATGATAATATGATAGGTAATATATGAACGAAATAAAGTACAACAAGAAATGTAATAAATAGCTAAAAGCGATAATGAAGAATAGTCAGTAATAGAAAGCTTTTTAACAGCAATAGCAGTGACCTACTGCAACCAAAAGAGAAACCATTGCTTGATGTAATAAATTAAATAACACTGTGGTAGTTGGAATATTCTAATTTTCAATGTATTATGATGAAACCATAGCTTATAACTATAGATTCTCAAGCAATGTGTGTTCAGTGAAAAATATTTCTAAAGTGGCTTATTTCGTTACACCGGAACAACCGTTATTATTAAAATTTTCAACAAGACTTATCAAGTTCTAAAGTTGTGCTTATTATGCATATTATACGAGAATACTCACACAACGCGGAACCAATGATCATGTCAGCCATGTCACAAAAGTATATCGCGATTCAGAAAACTAGTACCGCCATCTATCAAGTGTAAACAAAAAAAATGTTTTAACAGTCGTGACGGACCAACGTGCGATCTCGTTGTGCAATGATTTATAAACTTACTGGGGTAGCAAGGGGGCGTGTAAATAGCCCTCCTGCGGCGGGAGCATATAAAGCGGGGGTAGAAAGGCGTGTAAATAGCCGTCCTAAGCGGTATGTGACAAATGTTCGTCACTTATAATTAGCAGAGCGGTAAAACTATATTGCGGTAAACAAAAAGCTAGTAACTAAAGCTAAAGATAGAAAATTAAATACATATAAGCGAGCGGGCGGGCGAATGATCACATGGAAGCAACAAAAATGGCAATAAATTAAAAGAACTTGCACTCACCATATTATTTATTACCGTCCTATGTGCTTAGAGCGAGTTTTCTAACTTCTCGATCGCCTAAAAGTTCTCAAAATTGTATGGAGTTGGAACAGCGCCCCTAGCGGCAAACATAGGGAAGCTGTCTGGCTGCACTAACACAGAAGCTTATAAAATGCACCGGTCATCGTTCTCGTAGAACCCGACGAAGCGACGAAGCGAAGCTTGCGACAAAGGGCTCGGCGAGTAAATTAACACACATACACAGCCCACTGAGTTTCTCGCCGGATCTTCTCAGTGGGTCGCGTTTCTGATCCGGTGGTAGATTCTGCGCAGCACTGCTCTTGCTAGGGTTCGTGTTAGCAACGTCTTCAGGTTTTAGCCCTTTGAGCTCCCCTACTAGTTAAGGTTACGCTGAAAAAGCCTCTCAAGGCTATCAGCATAATAATACGTAGGAAAAAAAATGCAATATTTTATTTGAAAGAAGCCGAGATTCAAGTTGAGAATTCTAAAATGCAAGCTGACAACTTGGGGCACACGAGTCGTAGTCTTATCCACTCGTCTGATTTGGTCTATGATTTACAAAATGCACAACTGAACGTAATGAAATAAAGTTGAATAATCTGAATGATATATTATGATCATAAGAACGTATTGAATAAAATAGAATTTAATGAGATTACATGAGATAATAGTGTCTCAGTAAAACGATGGGTATTTACTAAGAGTTTAATGGACTTTTTGAAAAAACTCGTGAAGAAACGTCCAGCGACTTTGTTTTATTTTTGTGCCACTCCACAGATACTAAGCTCTTCAAAGGCATTAGATCTGAAGAAGTACTAAACTAACAAAATTAAATATTGGCGTCAAACAAAATCAAGCTTTACGGATTTCGCTTGCAAAAGGGTTGTGATCCATTTCATTATTATTAAATGTATTGTATATATATAAATGTATATTGAGGGATAAAAGGCTATTTAGTTTAAGCGACATTTTCGAAAATTTACAAGAGAGCCAATTAAAGTTTAAAATTTGAAAGAAATATCATAACAAAAAAAATTCTTCAGCTATTTCAATGGAGTAAACTTCATTGAAGTCAATTTAAAAAAATCGAACTGTTTATGCAAATGCCAAACAAAATGCACCTTTAATTACAAAGTGAAATGTCGCTTAAACCAAATGGCCTTTCGCCTCTCGATAATTAGTAATCTAATAGTAAAATGAAATGAGCATTTGTTAAAAAACTTATAAAAATATATTTCAACGTTATTAGATAGGTAATTTTGTTTTGTAATGTTTTAACTGTAAAATAAAGATATTTTATGCTAATGTTTTTTTTTTTATTTAACTGAAGTTGCTATTGGACAGACTTCAATACAACAAAGAAATGAAACCTTACAAGCATTGCCATCTAGTGTACATAGGCGAAAACAAAAGTGGCCTCAAACAAAAGTTTGGATACTCGGCACTAGATGTCGCTTCTTGACATGAGTAGTGTAGTTAGAAGGATGAGACCGCAGTAGGTACACAATAAAATTAAAATTATCCTCATGTCTCAAGGTAAGTTTTAAGAATGTCTTTGAAAGCAGATGAGCATACGGCCCACGTGATGGTAAATAGTCATCGTCGCTCATGGACTTCAATCACAGATAATCAATAGACACAGCCAAGCCACTGGCTGCTGCGGTATGTGGCAGTATTTCCAAAGTTTTATCCTCTTTAACTATGTCTATTACGTCGGCCGATTTGTAGCAATAACAAAAAAAAAAAGTTTTACATGCATAATTTGTACAGTACGAAAACAATACTTTGTGACAGAAAAAATAATATGACTCTACGCCTCATAATGTGCCTTACCACAAAAAGGGGCTAAGATTTTTTTTATTGCTCAAATCGGTGGACTAGCTCACAGCGCATCTGGTGTTAAGTGGTTACTGAAGCCCATAGACATTTACAACGTAAATGCGCCACCCACGTTGAGACATAAGTTCTAAGGTCTCAGTACAGTTACAACGGCTGCCCTGCCCTTCAAACCGAAACGCATTACTGCTTCACGGCAGAAATAGGCAGGGTGGTGGCGTCTACCCGCGCGGACTCACAAGAGGTCCTACCACCAGTAAAACTAGAGAATGAAAACTAGAGGTCCTATTATTTCGAACGCCATCGAACCTTCTCGAGCTTTGATGCAGTGCGATCTTTAAATAAACGGCACTGGTTCTGTGGACATTCATCCACTCCCCACTAGATGGAGCTAGTTGTGTATGGTCTATTGTCGCTGCCGCCGGTGGCTGAGGTGGTACTTTATTTAATTAACTATAGCAATTCAAGTTATCCTTGTGGCAACAGTGCGGTGTAACGTTGTCAGACTACTAATGTCTTTATTAATCACAAAAAAAAATCGTAAACAGTTTTGTAATAGTGTATACAACCGACTTGAAGATGATGTACAGAATAATTAAGTTTGAATACTATTTTGTAATTTAATGAACGCGCCGTGTCTAATACGCAAGACTCCCGCCTGGTATACGCAGGATGTTATTGTATGCTGCTAGGGTAGTGTTTCAATCTCTCAGTACCAAATTTTTCAAAAATAATAATAATAATAACTGGAAGAAAGGCCGTCGTGGCCTAAAGGATAAGTCCGGTGCATTCGTGTTGAGCGATGCAACGGTGTTCGAATCCCGCAGGCGGATACCAATTTTTCTAATGAAATACGTACTTACCAAATGTGCACGATTGACTTCTACGGTGAAGGAATAACATCGTGTAATAACAATCAAATAAAATTACTGGTGGTAGGACCTCTTGTGAGTCTGCATGGGTAGGTACCACCACCCTGCCTAATTCTGCCGTGAAGCAGAAATGAGTTTCGGTTTGAAGGGTGGGGCAGCCGTTGTAACTATACTGAGACCTTAGTACTTATATCTCAAGATGGGAGGCGGCATTTACGTCGTAGATGTCTATGGGCTCCGTAACCACTTAACACCAGGTGGGCTGTGAGCTCGTCCACCCATTTATGCAATAAAAATAAAAAAAGAACATATCACGCACGCTTATCCGGCCTCAATTTCCCTGTGTTATGGGCACTAGAGAGTGACATACATACATAAAAATGTTTAAATATATAAATATATTAGTTAAAAAAACACCCAGACATAGAGCAAACAAACCTGTTCATCACACGAATGTTTGCCCGATATGGGAATCGAACCCACGGCCCTCGGCTCAACAGTCTGGGCTCCTAACTACTGCACCAGCGAGTCAGTCAGTACATACCTACTGACATTTGTTAATGAACATTTTTGTATTTCTTTATAGCTTTTACCGTGAATGATCTACTTGGTGTTACGTCGTTACTAGAGTCCTAAAGACTTCCACTATTGACATGAAATCATTTAATGAAATCAATTTATTATTAGTGCAATTACTGATAGTAGCGGGAGCAGTGAACTCGTACGACTCTGTACCACAATATTGTCTATTTCTACCGCGAATCATTCATGTGTTCAGGATCATGTCAGACGAGCTCTCGACCCACTTGTTGCTAAGCTAAACCTCACCGTTTATCTCGAACCTAAAATCCAAATTTCAATTACATTGGAATAATGGACACATTATCCCGAGAACAGGAACGTAAGACTACTGGCTAGTACCTGGTTACGAAAATGATTAGTATTGCGAATGAATATTTATGCGATAGATACGACGCAAGTGAAACCGAATCGCTTCGACGGTAACCGTCCTAGTGACGTCACAGCGAAAGTGCCGCGCCACAGTGCCACCGGCCAGGCGACCACCGCGACCACAGTTCAGTCGAAGAGCAACATCCGCGCGGCTCGGTCACCCGTCATGGACGAATAACGACAATAATCCACAATGTCGTTCCGGAGGCTGATGAGCGCTGTGCGATCTGCGCGGGAAGCCATAGCCAACAGCGCGCCCCTGGCGGACCGACTCCTCAAATCGCTGCTTTCCGTCGTGGTGATACTGTGCATAGCGGTGTCCTCTCCACCGCCGGCTTCCGCGAAGCCTTTTGCTATAAGCTTCCCGGCAGGCTGGTCCCTTGCCGGCTTCGTGGGCAGTGTGGGCGCTCGAGCGGATGAACCCCAGCGGAAGGAGCCGGCGGCAGGCGTGAAGCCTTACACGGGCCGACGAATCAGTAACGATACATTGAGAATGATATACTACCACGACCAGACCGTGGCGGTCGTGGAGCTAGGAACGAACAAGTTATTGCTCAACTGCGAACTCATCGAGACATAGTGAGTACTTTCAGGATGTTGTTAATTGCATGTTTGTCTGTTTTCACAACAACACATTACATGCGCCTTGCGATGTTCCGCTTTCGGCAAATTCATTCTTAACTCAAACCTTAAACTGTTGCGATTAAGTTCAAATTTAAGTAAATATGTCTACAAAATAGACGGACAACAAAAATCAATTAAAATCAATTAACGATATATTTATTTGCAAGACGAAGATTCTGTTTTAAATAACGTAACATTTATCAGTGCGGTCGTCTAAAGTTTTTTTATTGGAAAATTGCTCAATAATTTACTCAATTGGTTCGCAAAATGGGAGAGCAATAAAATGACTAAGAACGCGCGGGTCAGCGACGGAATTTCGGTCACAAACTGGCTCGATCAGAGCTCAGGGTACATCGGTACATATCTTATTTGTCATAGAACATATTGTTGGGTCTTTCTCTGCTATAACGCTTTTCAAGGTAATCACAAGTTTTGCCAATGCACCTGGGATCTCAACGTTATCTCTGAAGACGGTTTTCACGTTGTGTTGTGGCCCGGTCACCTATAGAAGGGTTTTAAATTCGTCTATTGAAAAAAAAAGAAACCTCACCTTTCAATTCCTTATTATTTTATGTAGTTCATAATAAATATAATTTAATGTACTGATGGTAGGACTACTTGTGAGTCCGCACTGGTAGGTACCACCATCCTGCCTATTTCTGCCGTGAAGCAGTAATGCGTTTCGGTTTGAAGGGTGGGGCAGTCGTTGTAACTATACTTGAAACCTTAGAACTTATATCGCAAGGTGGGTGTTGCATTTACGTCGTAGGTGTCTATGGGCTCCAGTAACTACTTACCACCAGGTGGGCTGTGAGCTCGTCCACTCATCTAAGCAATAAAAAAAATTAATACATACATAATATATACATAACATAATAAATACATATATTATCTAATTGTGAACGGTAATCTTAAAAATAAATTATCATCGAGACGTGCCCAATCTCGAACTGTGGATTACGTTTCCGTATTGTGACACGTGATGCTGCCACATACGATCTCTCTTTAGATAATAGAATACTTACCCGATCCTGTGGCCTGACACACGACCCTTGTTGTGTTGTCTGCAAGGAAATCTCCGAAGAAAGGCAGAGATACAGATAAAATTCCCAGATGTTAGATAAGGCCCAACCAAGATATGCCACCTGGGAACCTATTAGCAGATGAAAACACAAGCTTTTCTTTTCTTAGATAGGTAAACGAGTATTGACGTTTTGATGCTTAGGGACTCCGGTAACCACTTAAGATCAAGAAAGCCGTTAGCTCGTGCGCCCGTGTATGCAACAAAACAAAAGAAGTTGCGATATTATTATATTATGTACATGGAGTTAACCACGGTTTTCTGAAACAAAATAATCTTAAAATTTCCAATGAACGCATTTCTTCGTGTTCTACATCATACACGCGAAATAAAATCACAAAAAAAAAATGTATTTCGAATCAGCATACACTCCGATTACGATAAAAAAAAATATAACTCATTAGAAAATAAATATTGATAAGAAAAAAAATGACGATTTACGACGAACTGTTAGGTACTTGGTTTTATTTTTCAAAACGTTGATTTTCATTTAAACTTCATACATTTAAGGTTTTGTCAGTTTTGTGGTTGTAGCGATGCTTTTAGTATCTATTGTCAAACCGCCGTCTGCTCCATTACACAGAAAGTCCTTGAACCATCATTAAACATCAATGGAAGTCCGTGACACACATATTCACGTACCGATTTTTAGTAGAGCGTCATTTGATCAATAATTTATAATATAGACAAGTACATGAGAACATCATAAGATATAAGTATTACAAAAGGGATGTACATATACTCTTTTAGAATCCCAATCTCCGATATATTTTTTTGTACGGGAAATATCAAGTTCGTACTTGATCTCACCTTCTTCGAATTACGAATGATTTATTTAATTATCTTGCACAGCTTGCCTGATCTTAAACGACTACCGGAGTCCCATAGATTATATTTGGGACGGAGTACTTAGAGACAGCGTGAAGCCGTTTTATTCCTTTCTTGACATCAGATTGAAGTCAACTGCTTTGCTATAACTCCGGTCTACCCATCAAGCAGGACAAGACTGCATGCCAAACTTATGGGACTACCGTTACACAATACAATTGAGAATTTGACCTCATATTGCTCTCGTCACCATCGAGAACCGGGTTGGCCGTGAACTCCATCTATCAAGTGAAATAAACAACATGAATAATACACAGTCTTGAAGGACTGTAGCATCCCTTGTTACCAGTAAAGGGAAATCTACTTTAAGCTTAAAGTGACAAAGGTTTGTCAACGTACGTACTATAAGTAATTATTAATATCATGCGTTACGAGATAGGTATTTGTAGTCAAAAGTTTTTTTGTATTACTTTCACCTGTCTCTAGACAATAATCTGTAGTTTCGAGAAAAAACAATTAAAGAAGCGGTGCATGCACAATGTCCAGTGACATGTTCATCTCGACTAATCTATAGCAGATCTTGAGACACTCTTCCTCTAAATTTTTTTGTAGTCATTGGTTATTTGGGTGGGATTCTAATATTTCACGGTTAGGTTTAGTTATATAGATTATATCGTCTTTAATTTTTCTTACGGAAAAGTATGATGGGGATACTTTCGTTAGTAACGGCCTGGCCACGGGGATCGGCGGTGCGAACAGCGAAGCGGTGGACGAGGCGACCATTCGCGCAGCACCGTTTGCAGGCCACGGGTACTCACGTTCGCCGCCGCGACTAGTAAGGAAGTCCGACAGCGAAATGTCTATATCGAAATTATCTCGATATTGCTTACAAATTAATAGTTTTTTGGTTCAGGACCTATTATTTGGAAAAGATTGTGAAGTACATGATTTGAATAAGAATCGGAGTATACCTATAGATGGAGAATTCCACAAGAAGTACGAGAAATACTTTGGGTGGCTAGACTTCCAAATAGCTGGTCTAGCTAGTATTTCAGCTATTTTATTTTTTTATTGCTTAGATGGGTGGACGAGCTCACAGCCCACCTTGTGTTAAGTGGTTACTGGAGCCCATAGACATCCACAACGTAAATGCGCCACCCACCTTGAGATATAAGTTCTAAGGTCTCAAGTATAGTTATAATGGCTGCCTCACCCTTCAAACCGAAACGCATTACTACTTCACGGCAGAAATAGGCAGGGTGGTAGTACCCACCCGTGTAGACTCACAAGAGGTCCTACCACCAGTAATTACGCAAATTATTATTTTGAAGATTTCATTTTTATCACACGATGTTATTCCTTCACCGTGGAAATCAATCGTGAACGTTGAGTGTTGTTGAGTACGTATTTCATTACAAAAATTGGTACCCGCCTGATATTCGAACACCGGTGCATCGCTCAACACGATTGCACCGGACGTCCGTTAGGCCACGACGACTTTAAAAATATAAAATAAAAAATAAATAAAAAATATAAAAATTTCGGCGTTAATTTTTCGCGGCGAAAACAACTAAACTCATTTAATCACTGCACTATTCGCCGCGACTACCGCTCGACTCCGTGGCTCGCGCCGTCCGTATTCATGCATTTGTTTTGCTCGCCCGCCGCATCGCGCGATTCGCTCGGTACATTTCGCCGGTCGCTTCGCCGGTCGCCGGTGCGCGTGGCTTGTTAGGTACATTTCTATGCGCTTATTTTAGTCGCTAGACGCTTCGCCGTTCGCACCGCGCGAATATTCGTATCGGCGAATGTCCCGTGGCCAGGCTGTAACATACCATGACGCATTTACTACCATCCTACACATTTTTTTATTGAAACCTCTGAAGGATTTCAATATTAAAGTTTAAATAGGCCTAAATCGGTTTAATATGTTTGTTTGTACAGCAATAGCTAGTTTTCAACTGACACTTGTCAAAGGCTTTCTATTGACAAGTCAATAAGCTTGCGTATTTGTTGACCATCACAAGACGCTCGGTGAATATCCAAAGAAATGAATGAATAACCAAAATCCAAAGACTAGACTGAAAATATATCTAAATTACTTTGGTAAAGAAATTATTGTACTGTCATCGATTCTCGATACGTCTGTAAATTTTCAAGGTAATCGGTCGTCTTTTAGTTGTTGAATATTAGTTTAAAATATCGTGATAGATATTTAGTTATAGGTGGACCTAATAAAAGTGTGGTCATAAAATACAAAATTGATTAGTACCCTTCCGAGTTTCGATAAAATGTCTTCACAGTGATTAAAATATCAAAATTAAAATGTAATTACCAGTTAATGTTCATCGATCCGAGGTCGAAACTTCATATTGAATAATAATTTAAACTAGAGGTCCCGCAGTAGTCGAAATTCGACTATAATTAATTGGAATTGTAAGTTTGTACACTATACTGATTGTATTTTATACTTCTATAATCACAAATTTAGCCAAGGCTACTCTATAAAAAAAATATTAATAAATAAAGACAAACAATATTTAATCTATTCCCAATTTGACCACAGACGTCAATGTTTATTTATTTATTTATTTATTTTATTATTATTTGTGGTCATAGTTTAACAAAGATTAATAAGCTAATATTAATAAATGTATCACTATGTCCTGCTAGTAAAGCGTACAAATATTAGGTGTAAGTATAATCTACATAAAAATAAAAAATAAAACTTAAATTATTCTACTTTATCATCTTAATTATCTAAAGTTATCGTCTAAATATTCTGACATACTATAGTAAGCCTTATCTATTAAAAATACTTGCAATTTTTGCTTAAAATCTTGTAAATCTACTGTCTTCAAAATTTTTATTGGTAGTTTATTAAATATTCTTGATGACNCATTGCCATTGCCTTTCATAGTGACGATATTTAAGACTCTCTTTTCCAATGAATTCCATTTATTGCAATCCAAGTGTACAGCGATAACAACAGAAAGCTTCGCTTCCGTCGGCTGCTCGAGTCAGAATGTTTTGTGCGACAATCATCA